CGTAGAAACCAGAAAGGTAGGACATTCACTATCCTATTTCCAAGGCCTACTAGTTGTGACAGGTCTACACGAGTTCTTTTTTTTACGGAAGTGGGGATTGGCATGGCAAGTGCCACACTACAACCGTATATTTACGAATTATTTACTGTTACTCAAGCCAATAAAAAGTGGTTCGCATATCGAAAGGTTAATAATAATAATAACAATACTTTATACGTGTCTGCATTATTAAGTGGCTTAGGCGTATCTATTCTTTGCCCAGTGTCCTCTCTGCTAGTTCATTCCTTTTTAACATTTTACAACATTTAATTCCTAGTTCTCAAGCCGTGTTAATTTTTCCTCGTGATCGTGCCTTTGGAGCCATCTACTCTCACTGCCTGCGCTAAGCGGTTGCGCGCGCTCTTCGACCCCGTGAGGCCCACGCGTGTTTGACGCGCGTGTCCCGGCGCGACGCGGCGCGGCGCGGTCGTCCGGAGCACGCGGCCCGCGCGCCGGCGCCGGCGCCGCTCCGCGCCGGTGGCAGGACGGGGTGCGCGGGCCCGCGTGGCGGCGCACGGCGCGCGCGGCGCGGTTCCGCGCGCGCCGCCAGGTGGCTGCCCGTCGCGGGCCGCCCCAGCCGGCGTCCTCCCTCTGCCCCAGCGCCACTGCCGCCACCACCCGCTCTCCCTCTTCATAAAAGTGCGCGCGGGTTTAATTACGGCGCGAAAATCGTAATGGAGTTTTTTTCCCTAACAGTTTTTGTTATGCAACGGAACGGTTTAACATCGCCGTATTTCACCCACCATGTGGGAAACATTTTTATGCCGGAGTTTCGGGCGAATAAAAAAAGAGGAGTGCTGTCCGCGGCGGTGCAGTCGCCGGTAGGGTGGATGCCTACAGGGCTGTGGGGCTGTCATGGTGGGAATATAGAGGATGTATGGTGGATGTGGTGACGGTTAAATTCTTCCGTACGTTCAGTACAAAAGCGTAGAAATGACCTCTTTTGTTCCTTTGGTTGAGTGTTTTTGCGTACACTTACGATTTTATTTTAAGTCCACACCGTTCTGAATTTTGAGCAATACGTCAAAATAGTGCAGGAAATGTGTTTATGTAATGCAAAGGAATGATGGGTGATTTCAGGAAGAGAAACAATTTAAATTAAGGCATTTGGCGTAAAAATTTAAAATAATTTTGTAACAACTAACATTGTGATCTTACAGACCCCTTGTGACCTTTAAAAAATGTTAAAATCTGATTAGAATATGATGCCGAAATGATTTCTCAAATATGTCATTTTTTTCTGATTGATTTTATTCTCAATATCAGGAATAAGAGCAATTTCAGTTTTCGATAATTTAATGCAATATTATAATTTTTTTCAAATTAGCAACCTTGTAGCGAGTGCATAAGACAAAAGATGTAAAAAAAGATGAACACCGAAACGCGACAAAGCTCCGACGCATCCTAAGCCCGCTGTAATTTCCCAATCCCTGTACAACGCGTCTGGCGCGGTGATGGCCTTCCTAACTCGGCGCAGTATTTCTTATCGAGCATCCGCAGGAGTTTGGGAGGGGGCAAGATTTTGTTCGCCTCGTGCCTCCATTCTTCTCGGCTTGTAGGGTGCCCACGCTCGCCCCGCCCGCCCCCTCTCAGGCGTTTCACGGTCGCCAGGATCGTGTTGATTAGAGTCGCACCCCCTCTTTGGAAGTGTTCCTCTTATCTCCGCGCTCCGTAATCGTGTAACCTTTTACGTTGTTTTATCTCGCTCAACGAGCTAATAATTTCGTTAAGCCCCGGGTATCAGATCGACGTGCGAGCCGTAATGGAGACTCGCTTCCCTGGCTTAATAATTTAATTTATTCCAAGCCAATTACTCTGTCGGCGCCGGCGCCGTTCGCAGAGTTGGCCGCAGTCACGCCGGCCGCCCGCCTCGGCCCCACCTCCGCCCCACCCCCGCCCCGCCCCGCTCCCACACACGCCTCGCGTCGCTCGTCCCGCCCCGCCCCCGCCCCGCCCGGCCCCGCCCCCGCCCGCCCGCCGCCACAGAAAGGTTCCTTCAATTTCTCCACCCTTTGGATCGTCGCAGAATGACAGGTTATAAACGTTCACTCAGTAACCTGGTAAAACTCTATTAATTGGGTTTGATAATGTGATAATCACAATTTGTGGTAGAAAACGAACAAAAAATTATTAGTATCGGAAACTATAGAAAAACATATACTAATCATTTATTTGCACGTTTTATGCGTTAGTTTATTCAGGAAATAATATTTACGGTATGTCGGGTTATTATTTTTCTCGGATTTTACAATACAGCTTTTTGTGCTGGATTACTTTAAAGTTTTGCTTATGTTTCGTCTTAAAAGTTGAGGATTTGAAGTGATATTGGGAAAACGAAATGCGTTTCAAAATTTTGTAATATAATTGTTATATATTTTGTTGTTTTCGAACTTCCAGTTGTTTTGCATGAATTGGTTTATATTATGGATTAAATATAATTGTGGAACATATTCTGCTCCTGAATAAGAAAAAAAATTGTCATCTAGAATCTCCGATGAATTGAGCACGTGTACTGTTTTAACTATTTTCGAGCTTTCGAAATTATCTGGAATAGAGGACGTTTGCAATTGGCAAGCGATGTCTTTTCATAATTGAAGCCGAGGTGCAACTGTTCAATTGTGATGTCCGTGTTCAAAGACAAAGTCCACTTAAAAATTAATATGTTCCGTATTTTGTTTCCTGCAACCTGCTGTAGAAACTTAGAACATATTTTTCTCAAGCTAAATTTTAAATTCATTTGAAAATCATACAGACCTTATGGCGATTGTAACCGAAACTTCCTAACATTAATGGTGTGATGTCTCCTTGCTAGTGAAGTGGCTCAAACTTAATACTAGGTGACTTAAATAGTTGCAAACTATATTTTATTGTGGAGGTTTTAGTTCTTTCTTGATCATTCTCAAAATATGTTGTAAATCTATTTTTCTTCTGGGAATTATTTTATGTGCTTTGTTCTGACATTGATTGATTCTTTGCAGATGCTTTTTGATTTTTGTTTCGCAGAGCAGTGCAAGTAATTTGTGATTTTCAATTAAATTGAAATAACACATGAAAAACAAATCATCCAACCTTTGTCATTGGTGTCCATTAGTTTATTTCTTTATCTCGTTTACATCCGGACTACTTTTGATCGTAAATAGGAGGGAAATTCACTTCTAAAAGTAAAGGCAAAAATTACTTAGCGAAGTACTTGTTTGGCGAAACAAACATAAAGCCCCCCAAAAAGTTGTTTTTAAGTTATACTGATTCTCGTATAAATTGGAGAAAGGATGACTCTCGCGTGGGACTTTAGGAAACTATAAAATAAATGGCGGCCATGAAACGAAACAAAGCGCAGCTTCAAATTAGCCCTCCCCCATGATTGGTTTCCTGAACTGCACATCGCAACCTTCAGCCCTCGCCGTTTTTTCCCGGCCGGCGCGGCGCGGCGGGCGGCAGCGGCATTATCCGCTCCCGAAACAGGGGGCTTATCGAGTGAAGAGCGAAGCGGGACGCGCGGCCCGACGCGGGATGGGCGGCGGCAATCAAAAGGCAATTTACGGCGAGCGCACCACGCCGAGCGTGAAACACAAAAATCTCCACGAGATACCTACCCCTCGTCCGTGAGGCCAGCCGCGGCTGCGGGGCTCCGCTGGACTTCGCTGGGCTGGGCTGGGCTGGGCTGGGCTGTTGTCCCGCCGCCAATCCTGGCGTTTCGCTGCTTCGTCGCGCTTCTTGCGCATTCTTTGTGTATCTTTGTGTACAGTTGTGTAGGAGGGCGATTCGCGACACGTGGTGTAGTGGTCAGACAGTTTGCCTTCCTTCTGTGGTGGGTGCTGTGGTGCAAATTCCGGCCGATCCGTTTGGAATTTGTAGTGAGCGAAGTGGGTTCGCGCCACGTTTTGTCGGGGTTCTCCCGTTTTCCGTCTGCCCTTCTGCCAGTGCTCCATTATCATTCCTGTAATGACGTTATTATCAATCCATCAAAATTATTCGTCTTTCAGGTGTGGTTATAAGGTTCGGAACTGGCTTTATAAAAAAAATATATAGGTCAATTTTATAATATGTCTACAGAGCTTACTGCCAAATTTCATATTCCTCTAGTTGTGAATATATGTGGCATTGCTCGTTGTTTAAGTACAATTCTGCGATTCTCTATCTTTTTGGCTATTGAACTTCCTGCTCACTATCACTGCTCTTTCATACGCTGATAGTTATCAACATATGGCCATTATATTTGTTTGCCATCATTCTTTAGTTCTTGCGCCGATGCAGTCGTATCGCCAATCTCGTTGCGATCTTTTGATCTCCCTCTTTTACGCTACTCCATTGTTTTTTCTGGTTCACCGTTGTATTGTGAGGAATGCTTATTCTTTTCTTGAGACATGTTTATGGCTCGTTTCTTCTTTCGGTCGTTTCGCAATCTAGTTCTATGTGTGTAACGTTTTCTACCAGAAATTATCTTTTAGTTATTAAAATTTTTTGCATTGCCTAGTTATTGTACTGATGCAATCTCGTTACAAATTTACTTTAATTCTTTTGCCCATTTTCATTATTTCGTTTAATTGTACGAAGCTACTTCTTCATTTATCTTTGTGTTTTAACATATTCTCTCTCTTTCTTTAAATATTAGGTTTTATTTCATTCTCATTTAATGTTTCGACTTTTATAAATATGTATTGATTAAATTATTGCTTTTCCTCACACAATTTCTGTGTGTTATTTGGTGTTTCTATATGTCTTGTCCACTTGTTATGCATTTACCTGCATTATGTATCCCTTCCGGAAACTTCCGTCTCGAAGCTTTTTAAAACAACTTGTAACTTCCGCTTATCTGCCAGTCTGCTTCTATCGGAATTACCGCGTTTATCGGACAAAATAATGCTCAATTCGTCTCTTTTTATCTTTATTAGAGTTTCTTTACGACTCAAGAGCACGTTTATGTCCCTCTTCCGGCGGATTTCTTAAATAGCTCGGCCACGATGATCTCACTGCCCACGGCGACGAGGGTGCACAGTGCCCGGAAATGGTACGGTCGGCGAACATGCCTCCATGTAGCAAGTCGGAAATTTTATGAGACGGTAATGAGAGCATTCAACCCGAAATTGTGTATATTAATGGTACGCTTTAAAAAGTTGGACATGTACAAATGTGTGTATGTTGTTAGAATAAAAGTACACAAAAACTGTAACTAAGGCCAGATACGTTGAGTTAAACAATTTCGTGGAAAGTGTGTACATAATATTTAGGTTGCAGAGGACACGTTGGGGCAATTGGGATGCTTATATTATTTTTTTAAAATTGCAGGCTATTTTGTTTCGCGAATTGATTAAAGAGATGTATGTTACAAAGTTAATAGTACTATGACTTCGTAATTATGATTATTAAAATTCGTTATAAGTGTGCTATGTACGGACAATTCGTTATAAATGCTTTTCCTCATTTACCCAGAAACCTTTGAAAATAGTTCATCACACGTCTCGTACGTACGTTGATCACCGACATTGCGTAGGAGTGTACACCCTCCCAACGGAGGATGTCGCCCACTGGGCTTGGGCGGCGAGGGCAGGGACCGCACCGCTCTCGGGCGACCGTCCGGTGGCGTATTTGCATTTCATTACCGGCGTTAAAAACAGCGGGTCGCACCTTTATTCCGCTCCAGGCGCTGTAAAAATTTCGGACAAATTAATCCATTCGCACCTGCGCGGCGGTGAGGGGCGGGGCGGGCGCGCGTAGCCGGGGCGCGTGCGATGGGCTCTGAAGGGCGGCGCGGCGCACAGTGGCGCGGGGTGGAGACGCGCCGGGCGGACTACGCGCCACGGGCGTAAAATGGGGGAGAATCTGAGGAATAGACATAAAGGTGCGTGGAAGAGAGGTGTGCGGGCGGGATTGGACGGGAGGGTGAGAGAAATGGGAGAAGAATGAAGGGAGAAATTTCAGTGTAGTTGTAAAAAGTTGGTTTTTTTTCGTGCGATTTGGATTTATGGGATGATTTTGATTTCATCGTCACGGTGTACGAGAGGAGACCGGTGATTGATTGATTGAGCACTCGTTGCATTGTACTCGTTTGTTGGTTTTCATACACGCAGGTACACACTCCGCCATACAAAGTGTGAGGGAAAACTGAAAAGAGGAAAATGCGTAAGGCTTCCGTTCGAGATAGCGCGAAGCCGGTTGCAGCGGCGAGGCGATCATGGCGATGGCGGCGTGTGTTGGCGGAGGGTCGCAGGGAGATTGCTGCGCGGCGCGTGTGGTTGCGGCGGCCACTGCGTGGCGCTGGCGGCGGCGGTGGCGGCGGCGGCGGCACATCTGCATAAACGCGCCTCTGAGCGAGGCGGAGCCCGGCGATTCGGCCTGCAGCGGTGACGCCGCAAGCCACCCGGGGTTTGGGGCGCTCGCCTGTATTGTCCGGGTTCATAGCACTGGGTGCTTCGACGAAGCTGCCGCTGCCGGCCCCACCGCCCGCTACTAACGCTGCCCGTGCCAACGCGCCCTCAGGCCGTGCTAACGTGTTCGCTGCTCCATGCGCCTCCACCGCCCGGCTGGCCCCTGGCGGGCGTCTGTGCACCCACAGGTGCCGCGGGCGCCGAGTACCGCAGTGCGGCCGGATGCAGCTGGAAGCTGTTCGGAGGAACGTCGTCGAGAATAATAGGGATTTCCGTCTACTATTTTCTGTGCTCGAAATGTGGGATAATGAATTAATATAACCGCGTTCACAATTTTGTTGATTTAAGAACGATGACAAAAACGTCTAACTTTGTTTAATGTTAAATTTAACGAGTACTTTATTTTTGTAACTAAGTATTCTTCATTACTCAATTTCAGACCACTTTTGTTTATTTGTAATACATATGCTTCTAAACTTGTAACTTATTTTCTTTTCCTGTTTCGTTTTTTCTACAAAACACATTAAAAACGCTGTCACAAAAATATAATTTAATATTATCTATTACAAGGAAACAAGTTCTACGGGAGTAAATATTTTTGAAACGAGAAAATGAAATTCTTAAACGGAAAGGAGTAAATGGTGAGTCTGTAATCAAAGCGTGGTGGTCGTATTGTATTTCGAACGCAGAGAAAGGTCAGGGCTACCCGCACGTTGCCCGGCGGGCTTCGTCATAAAGGTCGCCCGCGTGGAGACGAACGTGGAGCAACCATCTGACGGTGATCGTGAATCCATGGCTCTCACCATTCAGGGATGGATCTAAAAAAACATTCAATTTGAAGAGGGGAAGGTGTCAGGGTCTTGATTTTCCATATATAGATACATCATCATCGTCATCATCGTCGTCGTCGTCAAGAATGAAGACTTCTCGAGCCCAATCCTTTTGTATCAGTAGATTCTTCACAAATAGTCAAGAGACTCGTAGTTCAAATCGTAGTTTATTTCATTCATTGATTTTTCTTGCAATCATGTCAACTTAATTTATGTATTTATTTTGTTTATCTTTTTGCGACATAGGAACTCTCTTAGGACAAGGTTTTGAGGCGGGGGTTGCCTCTCGTTTCCGGATCTTCCGTTCTCCTTTCGCCCCTTCAATCTTTCCTCTTCGGAAAAAGCCTACCTTACTGCTTTTTCGAGACTACCTGTGGTGGGCCAAATTTCTGCATTTTAATGCGTTATCCGCAAATTGAAACATTGATTTAACCCTTCCTGGTCATCAATTTATTCACGACAATGTCACACTCATAAAATTCATTCACATAACAGCGTAGTTGTCTCCGATCCCCGTTGAAATGTAAATCAGAGAATCAATCAGCAATAAATCTATTTTCCTTGTGCGTTTAGCCATACTTCTGGAGTTGATTACATATGTACGTTATGTTTGATTAATAATCATTATATTTGTATTATCGCGAAACATAATACATTCTTGTCATTTCATGTATATGTCTTTGTATATTGTGTCAGATCATGTTTTTGAAACAGTCTCTGAAAATTGTTTAATTGTTTATGGAATTATGCACTTCTCATTTGCACACAACTTCTGTACTTGCAAATTTCCGTATGCATTTCCACAAATTAGTAATGGAAACATAAATGTTATCTGGTCATGCTCTTTTACGCCATTCAGTATCCATTGTCCAGCCTCATCACTTAAGTTTCCTTGAAGGACTTCCGTTATATTTCACACTTAACAAAGCAAATAAGAGATTGTACGAAAGAATGATACTTTGTTAAACTGCCTCGAATGCTTTGCAGGTGTAAAAATGTGTGTGCCGTGGACCTCTTAATCGCCGGGTTCGTACACTGTGCTTAAGACACATAAACCAGTCAATGTCATCTTATCGCGGGGCGTTTTCCTTTTGTTGTGGCGAAAAATGAGGTGGGAGGTCATATTGTGTTCACGGGTGACGGGCTCCCCGTCGGGGCGTCGGCTTCACAATGGATGTACGCTGAGTATGCGTCCCTCTTCTACGTGCAGATAGGCTCTTCTGCAGTTCTCGTCCACTTGCGTCGCCTTCGCCGTTAGTTACGATATGAAAACACAATTTTTTTGCGAATTGTATGAACTCATGGGAAAGAACAATTGAGAGATGGAGCATTGGTTACCATGGACGCAACGTTTTTGAGAGAGACTGGGTGGATTTCGCGAGAGTAAGGACTCCGGAATGTAGGCCGGGTAAATATTCATGTGGAATTCTTATTTAAAGCCCAATTAGTAGCGACTTCTGGATTTTGGAAGTTTGACGAAATCTTGGTGAACGTAATTCAGCAAGTTGATCGATGGTTCTAAAGTAAGGAAGAAGATATTCGTGGAAGCTGAGAAGGTAACATTTGCCGATTGATTCTGGTTGCATGATTTCACGAACAATATATTTTCTTTGTGTTTAAACTTAAAGTGTTATTATTTAAATTACCTTAAGAAAGAGGCCAACGGACAGAGACGTTTGGTGTGTGGCAATCCAGATGCAGCTGATTTAGTTATTGGCGTTATAAACGATCGCGGATACTTTATGTATGCATACACTGTTGCAGGAACATTGGGTTCATTCAAAACACCTTTCCTCACAACAGGACACGACCCCCTGGTGCGTTATATGTATTTCCGACATCCATCATTTTTAAGAGAATAGTTTGCTTCATCAATGCCATTACAATTTTTCTCTATAGTACACACACGCACACACTACATATCCACAGCACAGATAATGGCACGTAAATGACTTATAGATAATTTACACATTGTGTATGAAAAACGTTTTAGAAAAATATTAGAATTGTTTTATTATTTTTGCACTATTATTATTTTTAATTTTACAAATATAAACAAGTTCTCAGAATCAAAATCACAGATTCTAATTGAACAAAAGTTTGATTTCTTTTTATGTGAGTGATGCTAAATTCCAAAACAAGAGCAAATTTGTAATTTGTTTATTAGATGAAATCATAAGAGAATTGATTAAAATATCAGAAATCACACAAATATCAGAAAACAAATATCAACTTCATTAATATTTTTGTAAACAAAGATATCTTTATTATATCGATCAGTCGCCGGTGTACACTCTTCTATCGACCTCCCAAACGAACCTGTCATTTTTTGACTCCCTTTTAAATAGAGTCTACTCCTAGGTGGTCTATATTGACCCCATGGAGAAACCTTGGTGTTGAGTGTTTAAGAGAATCGAATCTCTCAATCGTCAACACCGCATTCTACGCCACTGCTTTACATTCGAGTGGAACCATAAGGTATACTTGAATTGATATATGGTATTTCTTAACAAAAAAGCGTTTGTACGAGTCATTTCGTCAAAGTAATTTTTATAAAATAGAATATGAATTGATTTGGCACGCCCTTTTGGTATTTGTGACAAAAAATTGAGCAAAATACAACGACAAATTCGTTAAGTTTGTTGATTTGTTTGATTATCCATGAATCGTTTTAATTTATTGTTCTACGTGATCATAGAATGACCTACATTGTAAAACATTATTGGTTTTACTTCGGTCGATGCGGAGCGTAGTAAAGATGGACGAGTTTGAATGAATCAATAATGGTATGACACGCAGTTAGTTTCGTAGAAGGCAGCTTGAGCTCTATTTCTTAACCTATGTACTTTCCCCTTATTGCGGTAGGGTGGAGACCAAAATCTGGATATATTGGCTGGACGTGACGAATCTCATAAATTTTTAGAAAATTCCATTTTTTTTGAAATAATATTTTATATTCGTGCGACCTGACTGAAGACTATTGATAGTGACACCTATGTTTGTCTATCTATGCAAACATAGATCAGTCCCACTATAGTTCAAGAGGCGCCAGCAAGAAGCTCGAGGTCTATTATACCGTGTTTGTACGCATGTTCATGCAATTCTAATACTGCAACTACTCTCCCACGTCCGAACTCTTCACGTGACTAGCTCACCTCTAATATGCGACCCGGTTTGCAGACACCTGCATGAAGAAATCGTTAACAATGCATACAGCTCATGCATGGAACATGCGATGACAGCCCCTTCCGTGTCCTTGCCATTGTTTATGTGCGTACTTACCTGCCACGCGCATTGTGCGGTAAACAAAGTTCCATTTTGTGTCGCTTCAGCAATGCGCGTGTTCGAAACAGTGTTTCAACATAGTGTTTTGATGTTTTCACAAATTCTTATGCACGTGCTGCATGCGATATTAAAATTGTACTGGAACACAAACTACTTGAGCATTTACACGTGCGCTTACACGTACATGCAATTTACTTGTGCAAGCTGCACTGCTTGTTTACCTGGAAGAATGCATTTGGGGGCACCCTCTCCAAACAGTGGGAGGTTATACCATTCCAGTTGTGTAACTTCTTAGAGAAATTAATGCCCCTTATCAAATTAATAAGATCCTGGTGTAATAATTTAATATGATAAGTAGTTTTGAATCGTTTACCGAAAATCGATTAAGAGCTGAACATTTACATCAGCAGCAACAGTACAAATAGAAGTAGGTAAACAAGGACTAAATTCATACTGAGTGTTCATACTTCAAGATTTGTTAATTTAATTTCTGTATCTCTTTCTGTTTGTTCAGAAATAGCATATTTTCTAGTAATTGTTTAACCCTGGTGATGATGTGATCAAAGGTGATCAAAGGTGAAGGCATTAAATTATTTGATACCTAGAGTAATGTAAGACTTATGCATAGTAATAGAAGCATTTTTGCATTTAACTTCATTAAATTTTAGATTAAAAAAATTACATTAATTTGCATTAGTGTTATACATACACATATCCTTTGATCTGAGCTCTACATCTTGCTTAGGATCATAGACCGAGTTAAATCTGCCGAGGACCTCTCAAACCTGTCCAGTGTAACTTATGTAGATGGCGTTGGCGATGTGTGCTAAACGATTGGCTTGCTTGTGCTTGCAGGCTGTCCGCTGGTAGCCGGCAAGATTTCCTCGCCGTGGACACCCGCCAGCGCCGGCCCGCCGGCCGACTCGTCCGGCGCGGGCGCCGACGCCAAGAACCTGGACGTCGGCGACGAGGTAAGCGAAGAGGTAATGTTTCGACCATTCATTCTTCTACGCTTGCTGGTGGCGGGTGGGGAGCGATCGCCCGCGCGGCGCGGCACGTCACGGCGCCACTGACCTCGATGCACGACGCCAGCGCCGCCGTTTGCAGCTCTTGGAATCAGAGGAGTCGTTGACGCCATCACTGGCGTTGCACCTTCATCACATCATTAATCAAAAAAATTATGCTCAAAGGAACAAGTTTTGTCGTTACTTAAAATTCAAGAGCAAGTATTCCTCTGTCGCGTGGAGAATTTCTCACATTTTTTCTGTTACTACTTTTTTAATCACAGATTATGAAAGAAATAATGTTCATATAATTTGTTGATATTGAATCAAAGCATAATGCTAATCATATAAAATAAATCCAAGAACAGATGTCATTTGATGTATGTTTCTGTACGTGTGTGTGTGTGTGTAAAATTATTTTTTCAAAGAATGAACGGAAATGCGAATGCTGGTGCATTGAAAATGTTTATATTCAAAATATAGATGTTATTGCGCGTGCGTTAGGCTTTGATTTTCGATTGTTAAAATATGATAACTACCAGGACGTGAATTACAGATCTGACTAAAGTACGAATATAAAAGCATTACTGTTTATTGCTCGTTCATTTTTAAGCAATATTTATAGTTGTTAAAATTACATAAAGATATTGATATGAATATTTTTTCCTTCTCCTCGTCAATCTGCATATTTTATTAGCTTTCCTGTAGTTAGGTGTCGTTTATAATACGATTTCCGTCTCTTTCCTAATATTGAGAAGATTCTGGGACGTCGTTTTTTATGAATCGTTTAGAAGCATCTCAATCCGGACGGAGAAGAACAAATCAAAGAAAAAGAGAAAGGGGGGACGCAGTACGGCCTCTCTTCTGCGGAAGGGTGTAAAGGAAGCGATAAATCTGCCGAGGAGCCCGTAAAGGAACAGAGGGAACCAGTTAGTGCAGAGGGAATTGTTAAGAAGGGTCGGGAAAACTGAATCAGAAAGTTGTGAAAGGGTAAACACTTTTTGATGGGGGAGAGCGAGTTCTCTAATTGAAGCGAGCGACGGGCTGCACAAACGAGGGGGAGGAGAGGGAGGGTTGAGGGTGAACGCGAGGGAAGTTCCAAAACGGGCTGTTTGATGCCCCTAGGTCATGGAGGGGAAGTAGTTAGGGTTTCTTCTCGGGGAGGTGAATGAAAGGCGGGAGGGGAGGGCAAATTGCGTTTCAAACACATAAACCCGTTATGAAAGGGAGTGTGATAACATTTGCCATTGAAATGGCAAGCGTCTGTTACGAGACGCGACGGATATTAGTCCAGAACATGTGGTTGTTTTTGTATGATTGACATGTGTATGGTGCTAATAACCTTAATATTTTTCGAGTTTATTTATTTTATGGCTAGCTGTTTTACATGTAGAAATTTTCGAAAAGTGAAATGTCGATGTTAAGTATCTCAAAATTTAAGAACTGATTTTTGTATTACAATTTTGACATTAATTTTTTTAAAGGAAGGAAGTGGTATTCTCGCTGAATACATATTTTCCATTTTTCTCTGTTTGGAACATTTGACCTTCCTTCATTATATTCAATTCACTTAATATCGGTGTTATGACTTGATTTACTTTTACTTGCTTGTATTTCATTACGCTTCAACAAAGATCAGGGTTATATAGAGATCAGGTATCAAATGTCCTATCCTTTGGCTCGAAAGTCCGATACAGGCCTTGGCCGACCAGCGGTTGCCATGGGATAAGGGGTTCGTGTAGTTTGCGTGAAGTCAGGGATCAAATGAAAATGTGTAATAGCTGTACCGCGAGTACGAACGCATATAAATGTCATAAATATATCGATGATTAATAAGATCTCGTCGCATTTTTTTCTTTCTTCATGTACAGCTGCTCCGAAATTTCGAACTCTTGATTATCTGCGTCGCGAAAACCAATGCATTATCATTTTGCGTTCAATAGTTAAGAACAGCTGAAAGTGACGCATAGCAACGAAATTCGACCGTTGCTTGCGTCATTTGGTTGGAACTTTAACGCGCACTCTGCCGATTTTTACAAGCGTTGTCTGTTTCGAACTCGCGTCTCGCTTCACAAAAATGCATTCGATCACCGGGCGGATCGAAATAGCGCGAGTGCCTGGGTAATGGCGCATCGTGCTCGCGGGCCGGGCCGAGCGGCGCAGATGAAAGGCCCCCGCCTATCGGAATTTTACGAAAAGCGAAGGACGTGCGGAGAGCGGGGGGCGGGGGGGGGGCAGTGGCAGATTTTAATGTGATGTGCGCACTACATTAGCCCAAAATGGAAACTCGTGTGATCGAAGGTTTCACCAAACAAAAGCGCAGGTTGCTTTATCGATGTCGTGTGGTTGGTTGAAGTAAATGCGTTCAGTAATAGAATAGGGAGTTTTACTACTCATAAGCGCAATGTATCAGTTACTAGCATCATATAATTGGTTTTAACAGGATTGGATACGCCTGTAACTGTACGTAGATTCACATAGCATTCTGGGTTCTTAATGTGCCCTATAGTTGAATATGTATATGAAGCACCGGGAATGAGCAAAAAAAGTGTCCGTAAATAATACGATCTGTAAAATACGTTATAGATTTAGGTATGGAATGAACTGCATCAGATATGAACGTGACCCAAAATATTATTGATAATATATCTAGTGAAATACTGTTAGGAATCGTGTATTATTTAAAATTAGTTTTTCTTATCTTAACGCTTCTTGGAATATGAAAATGGAAATCGACGTTTTATTCGAAATTTAAATGATCTGTAATAACGCTATCATTTCCGTTCTCGCAGAGACTATCCTGTTTACTACGTGTCGTGTCTTCTCTTTCTTCACCCCGTATAATCCGTGCATTTGTAACAAATCGCATTGCTCAGTCTTTGTCTCTTGTCAAATTGCGCGCGGCGGAGCGGGCGGCGTGCATCGAGGACAGTTGCGCAGCGCCCCGCGAGGCCCGGCGCCGGTCGCCGCTGCGGGCGGTCGCGGGCGCGAACGAGGCCCTGGGCTGCGGCTCAAAAGGTAAAGTAGCATGCTCCATTAACGGTGGTGGTGGTCGCATGGCGAGGTTGCCGCTTCTTCTCCATGGAATCTTGCACAACTGTAAAAGAAAGAAAGAGAAAGTATCAGGTAATGTTTGGTGAGAGACGGGGCGAATTGTATGTCGACTCTAATTATCCTTTAATGGGTTGTTCGTGTCCTTTATTACACGTGCGGTGGATGTGGTGATTTTAATTGAGTTACGAGTTCATTAGTGGGGATTGTTTTTGTTTTGGGTTGTTCTTGAGATGTTACATGGATGTTCGTGAGTCTCGACGAATCGTGAAACTGAAGTCTCGTTTGTGAAGATGAAGGCGGCCGAATCTTGTTATATAGTCGTTAAAGTGAACATATCTTTCATCATTCAACCACTCTTATTCGGCCAATTATTAGGACTCAGTATTGTGGACCATAATAGTAACATGCGTGTTTGGTATAGGATATTAGTTATGACAAATTTCCCCCATTTATTTCAATATACTTAAATAGTGCTACCTTTTCTTTAGTTTCATTAATTATTTATGTTTTTTAGGTATCCATGCACAAGTAATGTCGAGTTTAAACAATATATCAAATTAAGAAATAAATTTTCTTTTTTTTTAAGTTCTCATCAATTTTATAGAAACGAAAATTATCCGCCATTGTACCGTGAAAAGCTGATATAATTATTTTTAATTGTTCGTATTATAGTTCTCTAAGTTGTCAGACTGTGCGTGGTAAAGGTTACACACTTTAAAATGTACATTATCTATCTCTTGCAATTCCCAATACTCAATATGGTACAAAAACAAATAAACAAACAACAACAACACACACACACACACACACACACACACACACTCAAAGTGTGAACAAACCCAGGGGAAATGTTTCTTTCCAAACATATGCGTGTTGAAGATCAAGGGTTGTGAGTGTATCAAACACACGCAGAACCATCACGACGCGGTTGTCCGCTTCGACGAGGCAATACCTCGGTGCGTGACGTGTGTAAAAAGGGATCGTGATGAAGGTTTGGGGGCCGGAAGCGGCGAGCGCGAGCGGGGATGCCTTTCCCGTTTGTCAGCGCGCGCGCGCTCCTGCGCATCACCGGGTGACTCAGAGGGCGCACAGCCCCGCCCCCCCACCTCTCACTTCCAGTTCGCCCGCGATGGTGGAGTGGCAGGGATTCCAAGGTTATGTTCGCGAGAACCTCGTTTTTTATTTATTATTATTATTATTATTATTATTATTATTATTATTATTATTATTATTATTTTCTATAAATTGAGAAGTTGATTCGCATGGCCCTTTGCATGATTTATTTTATTTTAGTTTTTATGTACTACTGTGCAACTAGTGCCTTGCAGACTCAACGTCCACTTCCACTACCATAGTTGGTCCATGATCGGTTAGTGCAGGAATTCTTAAAGTCTTTTGAAGTAGTTTGGCAGAGGAATCTCACGGCATGCAGAAAGTATACTTCCGGGGCTAGTTGCATTGCATTGACTTCGAAAGTTCTGTTTCATTGCAGATGCTTCACAGGATATGCCTAAGGACTGTATCGGCTGTTGTTTCGCTACCCCTAACTTCGGGAGTACGAGTAGTGCCCGTAGTAAAATTTGGAGCCTCAGAATTACGGCAACCTTTCTCAACTCCTTATCAGTGTCGCGCGCTGCAACCCGCTGGTCGCAGCCGCATAACCAAGCGCTGGACAGTATTTCGAACGGTCATTCCTTCTAACCTCATCGACCACCGAGTCAGTCGTATAATCACCATTGACACTTATACAATATTACACTTTACGAAACGCACGCCCCTCACAGATTCTATTTTTAAATAGATAATTCGTTTTAGCACTCTTAACGATTGTAACCCAAAATCCAATGTTATTTTCCTGTAAGATATTTATTTACTGTATTGATGTAATGATTGTTCAATTTTCTGAAACTTTTTTTTTTTTTGGTTTCGATTAAACTTTTTTGTGTAAATACCAACAAAAAATGCAATTCTCTAAAACAGCCCTTTTTGTGAGTCAGACACAACACCTGTACGTTGTCGTTGCTGCCACACACGTAACGTAAGCGGCGCTCCCACCCGTGGCGCGTGCTGAGAGCGGGTCGCGTGAGTCAGGGGGTGGCCTGCGCTGCGGGCGCGCGTGGGCGCGGGGCGACGCTTCCCCGCCTCGGCGCTGACGTGGCCGCCGCCGACGGCGACTGCCCGGTTGCGCCTGAATGGCTGGCTCTCTCACCCCCCCCTTCCCCCGACGAAGCCGTGAGGCGGTGGAGCAGTGGGTCGAGAAAACAGGGCGGGCATGCACAAACAAATACTACGGAACGAACAATTTGGTAGGATGAGTGTAGTAACTGTTATTGTTTTTAACGGCTTAATGTTTTATGACTCTCAGTGCTGCGGAATTACAGTTTCATGAAATGTCTGTATACAGTTTGATGACCTCGCGTTGCGATGGAGTTTACATGTAAACGACTATGTCTTTAATTCTCCTTGTACTTCCGTTGAATTTTTGTTTCTGTTTTCCATGGTAGGTTGGACGTGTAAGAAGGTCACTGTAACTGATAGTTCGAAACACTAAAGGCTACGTTTATATGCAATTTGAGCGGTGGATTACACTATTATTTCGTTATTACCACTTAACTAGATTTATCAATTAATAAAGATTCTTTTAATGTGATGAAAACCGTAATCTTGCTTGTCTCATTTTAAAGAAAATATAAAATATTATTCTGATCTTACAAATAATACACAGTACATTTCGAAACCTTGTCCTTCCTTTGATTTCTTGCGATGAAAATATTAAATGCTTGGGTCTTTACAAGCATTTACTTTATGTATACTTTCTTAATAACAGTGTTTTATGGAGCATACTTTATTTTATATTTCCGAATTGTAAATAAAATGTGAATGAAAATCTAAGCCTAAAAAAATAAGACTTTTACAAATTAATTTTTAACTCATATTATCCACTTTTGGCTTCAGCTATTCTCAAAGTGCAAATATCGCAATTTCCAACCGTGTCCGCCCTGTGCCGCCTTTCGAGTTCCTCTGCGCCACTGTGCACCGCCGCCGCCAGAGCGGAGCGGCCGGGCCAGTTTTTGCCTGCGCCGCCCGCGTCATTCGGTCGGCGCGGCGCGAGCGTCGGAACTGCCCGCAGCGACGTTGCACGCAGCGGCGGTGCGTCGAGGCTGCAGGGACGGCGTTAGACTCGCGATTGTCCCCACCCAATGGAGCCGCGTGTACGTTTGGCTGGTAATTGTTGTCAAGTTTTAGTATATTTTGTGAATTGGAGACTGATTTATGTTTCGTTTCGTAGCGGTCGTGTTTTGGAAAGTCAGTGGGTTGGGACTCGTTAATGAGGACACTGTTATCATTACAGCTCCAATGGGTAAAATGCGTAATCAGGTGGAACACGTTGAAATTGTGAGAAATGAAAGTAGGTAGCTTGTTGTGTTCAATTTTTTACATCTACTCAAACCACTTTGACAACAATATACGACAATAAAAACAAATTATATTTGAATTGTTTATTTTTAGTTCGTATTTCCTGTCTTGTTAAAACAGTACTTTAGTTAAGTTTCCGGGTCCGTTGTCTGCCTTGGAGCGGGAGTTAAATAGTCGCCGGTTCCTCAGGCGCGGAACCGAGCGCTTCTCCGCCACCGCTTGCCGCTCGGCCGGCGCAGCGGTGTATTAGACCGCGATGGGGGCGACAGAAGCCGGAGCATGATTGGCGCCCGCCACGCTCCCTCGCCTCTCCTTCAGTGTTTCGCCCATGCCAACTCTCACTCACGTCCGCTCTCTCTCTCTCTCTCTCTCTCTCTCTCTCTCACACACACACAGATGTTGTCCGTCACCGCATCTTAGTGTTCTCTGGCCCTTCCCGAATTCTGCCTAGAACGAGTCCCCCCACCTCGTATCAAATTGGCCTCACCATCCCTACGCTTCCTTCCTCACTTCGGCTATCTCTGTTAATACTCTTCCTCTAGTTCGCCCTTCACAACAACTGCCCCCAACTGTTCGTCACCGTCATACTCCTCCCCGCTCGAGCCGAGAGCGGCTTGCGTCTCTCTGCGGCAGCGGCCGGTCGCCCCCCAGTCGGCGCGGCGGTCTCCATCGCCCCTGTCGTGATCTCTCTGCGGCGGCGGTCGGTCCACGGATCGGCGGCGGCGGCGGCAACTAACGCCGCAGGACGCACCCGCAGGCGACGAGCGGGGGCGGCGCAGGGGGCGGGGGCGCGGGCGCGGGTCGCGACGGCTGGCCGCTCGGGTCGCGGCAGCGGAAGGGGGCTCCTTGCTCGCTGGACCGCGCCCCCAATTACCAGCGATACTGAGCGGGCCCGGGGAAGGGGCGGAGCCGTCACCGGCCGCTCTGAAGCGACTCAGTGGATGCGCGGGCTAATGCCGCCCCCGGGATGTGACGCGGGGACGCGTTGGTGTGAGGGCACACAGATCGCAATCAATTTGGGATTATTCGCGATGGGGATTCAATGGGGATGGCATGTCATTGGGAGTGGAGAATGCCTTCACCACCATTATTTTTGTGGAACTGGGTAGTTAAGAGACGAATCTTTCCATGAACTCCTTTTTAAGCTCATTGCCCTCTGAGAACAAATTATATTAGAGAATGTTTATGAAATTACAATTAACTTCTCTTGCGGCACCCAAATCCAGTGAGAAAAGTTTGTGGAATCGTCGATAATTTTTATTGTTTATGTAATTACAATGAACTTTAAAACTTAAAAAAGATTCATACCTCAAACTGTCTTGTCCGGACCATCCCTGGAAATCTATCTTTGAAAAATAACTACTTTCAAAAACGTTTCATTCCTCACCTGTCCTTTCGTGCCTATAAATATTACGGGGAAATCAACGAATAATGTCAGAACCACTACAGGCGCGATTCTTCACATTAAAAAACAACTCTTTTGCGAAAGCGAAAAGGTGCTCATTGTTTCCTTAGCGGACTGACCTTTCCCCTGCGCGCGCTGCTTCGTTCGCACTCGCGCTGTGTGGCGGCCCCTTTAGCCGCGCCTCGTCATTCTCAATTTAAGCGGCCGGCGAAGTTCGGCGTCGCGGCGGGCGCAGCGCGCGGGTCTTCGCCGAGCGTCATTTTTCTTCCGATTTGTCAGTGCACGTCCGCCGCCGCCGGGAATATACTACGCCGTCGCCGCTGCGTTGAAACAGTTTCCGCGGCCTTGTGAATGCAAAGGGCGGAGTTATTCTGAGTCGCTACCTGGGAATGAGAAGGAATTGTGGAATGAGGAGATGGTTTTCGCGCACGCCGCAAGTTTTGAGCAATGTGTCTTACTTTGTTCCAATGGAGTTTCCGTGCCACGAAATAATACTGCAGTTCTAATAAATAAATATTTTGAAAATTGAGTCTAACTAGAGCAGGGTAGTAAGTGGGAAAAAAACATCACAATTGTTTCCTCGACTAATTACTCTTTTATCAAAGTAGCACTACTGTTCCTGGTATTAAGATGTCTGCAATTGTTCCTATTATAGTACTAATAAATATTTCTAATAATTAAGGATTTCTTTGCTTTAGATATTTGGTCTTAGATATTTTCTATAAATATCGTATTAACATGCGGTATAATTTGCCTTTGTTAGGCTTGCGCGGTATTGTTATTCATAAGCATCAAGTAATTTATATTTTCCACCCTCTGTGTAAGTTTCTGTTTTTTTATACTGTACCATTAAAATCGGTAGGTTATGTAGGTAGCCCGTTCGTATTATTTCTTTACCATTATCCTCTTACCGAATCGACATTGTCTCTTCCTTTCAAACCTGCTCACACTGCAATGCTAGGTGCGGTCTCATGAACTCCTCTGGGCGCGCAGATGCGCACTTTCGCGAGCCCGTCTAGCGCTCCTCTGTTGAGGGAAAGCGTCGGGCGCCTGCGGGCGGTCAACTCCTGCCCCGCGCCGTCGGAGGGCGGGGGCGACAGCGAGCATCCAGGCCAGCGCACGGCACATGGCACGTGGCACATGCGCGGCGGGGGCGACATAGAGTGCGGGGCGAGAATCGCTCGGGGGGCGGTTGACGAGGCAGGACGGGGCGGGGATGGGTGAACGGAGGCGAGGGAGGCGAGAGCGGAGCTGAGCTGGAGGCAGAGATGGGGGAGAGGATGCTGAAATCACGCTCACCTGGCGACGCTCGTTCCGCAGTTCGACGCCAGATGTCGCAGGGTCGCTAGGCGAGTACGACAGGGCATGGAACAGCGCGCACTAGACTAGACTGGTGGTTCCCAACTGCGAGCGGGTTATGGGCAACAAAGGGATGCTGCATCACAACTCTAATTATATACAGAATGTTCTACTTTAGGTTACTGAATATTTTCGTTAATAAATATTTTAATGCAGACAAGTCTTCCATTGTTAGATCATTTAAGTTACTCATGGTTTAATATTGAAATACAATTTGCTACATTTTCTTATAACGAGAAGTTAATCCCACGTTTCGAGTAGTGCATTTGTTTTATATTTCCTTCAATAATTGTGACTAATGTAAAGAGAAGAAGTAATTACAAAAATGCAAACATCGTTCCGGGCTGAGAATGCTTGTTAAACAATTGTTTATTCTATTATTTTCTCATTTTACACATCGTGACTTCTGAATAGAGTGCGCACTAGAATTTCTAGTTTATCTCCAAGGACACTTCACTGACAGCATCAGCGGAGCCACTAAGTCACAGCAGAAACGTATGTGGGATTTCGCATATTCACGTCCTGCTGTCTGTCTTTGTCTTCCTCCACACGCAGCTTTCGTCATCCAAAGGAATGTTAATTTTAGCACAGAGGAAGCAGTACATTACTCCTGTGTGTTGCATTGAGGAAGTGTCTGAACTCGTCCTTGCATAATCCAAATCCACTCGGTTCCCAGTCGCTGCCCAGCAACATCTTCCTCACCAGCGACCTCGCCTTCTTTGAGATATATTAGTGTGGAAATAGGGCCCCGTAAAAATTGTCGAAATTTCGTTTAAGGAAACAAAGTTGACCCTCCCTTGAGCATACATCTGCCGTTGGATCTCCGTTTCCTCCTAATCCTTGCCACTCAGTGTCCGATTCCAAACGCGCAGCATCTCCGGCTCTTCTTTCCCCTTGACGCCGCCGCGTTTCTCCTCGCTGTGCTGAGCGGCCATAAAATGGCGTGGTTTTGGTGCGCGCCCACGCTTTGCCCTCACCCCTGCTGCCCCCCTCCTCCACCCCACCGATACCAAAGCGAAGTGGCGGTGTGCCTTGCGCTAAATATAGCGCCTCGGGCTTCAAATGGTCTTCCTGTTCCGGTATTAACGATGTCGCCTTCAACCGACAACGTGTTTTTCTGGAGAAATTCATAAGAGGCGCGCTTATTTCTGTGAGAGGAGCTAAACGCGGCTTTCTTGCTCGCCGATAAAACAAGGACCGGTAAAAGGGTTTTAGAGAGATCTTAAGACTGTTGCTTCTGATGTCCGATGAGCTAAATAAGAAGATGCGAACTATTAAGTTGATTAATGCCCATTAAAAACATCAAGAGTTTTTTTATTGATTGTTCATCCATTGGTAAAGCTTCCTAAATCTGTCAGAAGATGTCCATTTGCATTAAGATTTGTTTGGCTTATTTCATATTCGACACTAATTTGTAATGGTTTGCTTAATGAGCAACATTGTACATAGAACTCCGCAGGTCTATGAGACTTTCATAGCCTCTGAGCAGTAGAATTTTTTTGTGTTGTTTAATGGAAGCATTCAGATCTTGGAAGGTGTGATAATATCAACTTCGTAGTAGTGCCATTAATATCACTCAATGTTTTTCGTGTACAGAAAACGATTGGATGTTGTCAACGGAACTCTAGAAATGTAAAATAAGGAGTTTATACTTTTTCTTACAGGCAAAGACATATGAGAATATCTCGCTGATGCAATAGAATCTCTGAATACACGTTCGCGAAAATTACTGTGCGAAAGTTTACTGATGAGGTGAGGCCCCCAGAAAAGACCGCTTTGTGCCAACTGAAACGGGCAGTACAAGAATCGAACGTGGCGGTGAGCGCGCGTCTCTGCCCAGGAGCCGGAAGCGCCCGGAGGGCTTTGGAACTGCGCGAAGAGGAACAACGGGCCGGGGCGGCGGCGGCGGGCGGCGGCGGGAGGGACCGTAAGAGAAAAGTCCGATGCGACGCATCGGGCCTCCGCCTGCGCGCCGGCGTCCACCGGCTCCGGCGCGGCCGTTCTCCTCCTCCCCTAGCCCCTGCCCGCCGTGCCCCGGCCGCCCCGCTCTCGCCGCCCAGCCCCGCCACCCGCAGCCGCCCCGCTGATAGGCTCGCCGTTTGAGGTTTGGCGCTCCCCAAACGGGGAGGCGCCTGAAGTGCCTGCGGCGCCCCGGCGCCCGCCCGCGCCCACGCCTCGCCCTTCGCAGCCTGCTCCGCCCTGCGTCGCCGTCACCCACCATTATCGGCCCCAGGCACCAAGTTTCTCACTTCTTTGTCCGGCTCCTCTCGCGCACTCTTCTTCAAACACGATCATAAACTCTTTCTTGCGCTTGTTTTTTTCTCTCGTGGCCAACTGTGTTGTACTTCTAGCTCTATCGGTTAATTTCACTAATTCCTAGATCCGTAGTTTCTCTTCGAGTTTAAATTCTCATCCATTTGGGCTTTATGGCCCTATCTTCCTGTTTTGGTACTTTCGCAACACGTTTGTCTTCAAATTGCCTTTTTATTAATCCTGCTACTCTCTATTCGTCACACAACGAACATTTTCTTTGAATCATTCTTAGTAACACTCATCTTTCTGGAATGTAGTCTGCACCATTTCTCGTTTGTTTCCTATTCCAATTTCTTCCCGCGCGTTCCGCATTGTCAGTCTCTCATCCTACGCCACCCGCTCCCCGCGCATTCAGGTCCCTTCTCCTGCTGCGTGCCCCCGCCTCCCCGCGCGACGCCTCCGCTTCCACGGCCGTAACATTATTCGCCTGCCACTTTCCGTCCCTCGCCCGCCGAGACGCTCAAGCTGTTCCCTCCGCCTGTTCTGCCGTCAGCCAAGAGCGGAAAGGGAGCTTTAATGAAACGCTATTTATCCGCGCGAGACCGGGACATGCGAACGAGCCATTTGATTCGGAGGCGCCCCTCCCTACGAACTTCGCTCGGCCCACCCCATTCCCGCTGTCTTGCCCTCCCCCTGCCCCCGGCCCCGCGCTTCGTCCTTCGCCTGCTGCGGCGCAGCCCTGCCCGACCGGTGCTGGCGAAGTTTTGCCCGCTTTACTTTCCTTTCATTGACAGCTCCAAGTCAGCTTCGCTTCTCGTGCCTCTCGTGGTGGCTGCTTCCCTTCGATGTGGCTTGCTTACTTTATTGCTTTAACGTAAATATCAATTTCTCTTATTTTGGTCGTACATTCCGTCCTCTTTTTTTTGCGTTTCGTTTTTCTTCGCCTTTTCATTACAATTGTACCTCTGTTTTCTCAATTCTTCTTCGACCCACTTACACCTCATCCTCCCTTCTTACGAAACTCTACTTCACCTACGTCACCTGTATATTGTTTCGTTTCATATTCCCCCGCCATAGTTTTAATCTGTTTGCATTTCTCTCTTTATCAATCTTCTTACGACAGCTATTGTCAGTTTTACTAGTCTCCGTTTCTCATTACATCTGCCTTTCTTTCACATTGTTTCCACTACGAGCGTTCACTATTCATTGCCGCTCTCGCTCCGTTCGATAGGTGGCCCGTAACTTTTCTCGCTTGAAATTCGTCGCTTATTTACGAGTCCACCGTCCACCTTCTTGAATAAGGCGCGCGCTCCGCGGTCGCCGCTGCCGATTGTCCCTGGCCCACCTGCCCGCCCCTGCTCCACCTCATCCTATCCCACTCCGCTCCGCCACC